GATATGGTAACAGTAATAGCACCTTCCACATCATGCCATCCAAGAAGCCTAACAAAATCATTTGACATCCTTGTAGTGTACCAAGGATGGCTTGTGCATATCCTTTGGTGGCTACAGTTTAAAATTTTAAAAATAGATTGATCCTGGGTCTCTAACCCTGGGCAGGATCATGCTAGGAATGTGCCTTATCTCTGAGCTACACATCAAGCTCCCGGGTGCAGTCTTATTTTTTTAAAAATGTATATTAATCGTACATACAAAAGGAACTTCATCTAATATTTCCACACATGCATACAGTGCATTAGTGACAGCCAACCACCGTCTTTGACCTTCCCCTGACCCTTGCTCCCTTCTCAACCTCTAGTTATCACCAATTCTACTTAAAGATCCGTGCGCTCAAGCATCCAGGTGTAGGGGAGCAGACGAGATGCTTTTCCGTGTCTTGCTTGTTTCACTCGGCATTTTGTTCTCCAGCTCCAACTATTTGTTGCACATAAGAGGGTCTCATCTGTCTTTAGGGCAGAATAACACTCCATTGAACACATATATGTTTTCTCCATCCATTCATCTGAACGGCCCCCAGGTTGATCACGTCTCTTAGTTGTTGCTAGGAGTCTGGTTGCCATCTGATGGTGCCAATCTTCACTCCATTGTGTATCAGAAAAATGATGCTTTCATCCTCCGAGTTTGTGGTGTGGTGAGGCTTCAGGGCTAAAGTCAACTTACTGATGTGGCCTCAGGTACTGAACCTTATTAGGACTTTGCTTCCTCATCTATGAAATGGAAGTGACACTAACCAGGTGGGAGGGGCATTAGTGACCACAGACACAAGGTGCCGGACACCATCTAGGTTGCAGTGTGTCTCCAGTGAACTGTATTTCTCCCCGTTTCTCCATCCAGCAATTTTGGGTTCTATTTTTATTATGATCTGGTTTTCCCTATTCGACTATAAGGGCCACGAAAGGCAGTAGCTCTGCTTCTACAATGATGCTTCTCTGCACCCAGAGCAGAACCTCAACCATAGCAGATTCTTAGGAAATACCCGCTGACTCAATGCAGTTGTCTTTTCAACAGTGGCTGACATTCAGATCTCTCACAGGCCCTTTGCTTGTCTGGAACCTCCCTATTTATGTGGCTCTTCCACTCTCCTTATGAAGTCTTGTCTGCCTCCTCTTCCTACCATTTGTTAGTAATGCTGCAATCTTATTTTTATGTTAACTATGATATCATTATTTGACACTAATCTTCCTTAGGACAGAGACATTGGGTTGGTGGACTGGGAGCCTTTCAGTCCAGATTTGCTACAGAATATTTTTTCACTTTCCATTTTTTTAAAAAAAGACTCCCCCCATCCTTTCTCTAGGAAGTGGGGTTTAGACTCTCAAATTGGATTATATGCCAATCTCAGGGTGTTCCCCTGCTCTTCCATAAATCACCCCTCTCCCTGTTTCTGGCTCAAGCATTGTGATTGTCTCCTTCCAGGGCCAATTAGTCAGCCCCAAGGTGTCTCATTAGGTTTATCAGGACTTCATTATACAGCTAGGGCAGCCAGCAGGAGGTCCAGAAAAGCCAGGATTTTGGCAGGGCTTGGGAGTCTGGAATACGATTTGCCATTTTCTTTGCCCCTACCACAACCACCTTTATATTTAGTATTTATCACATTGTGTTGTAACTGTTAATTTTCAGATGTCTCCCCACCCCCACACAGCAAGGGCAGGATTATCTCTTGCCCCAAGAGGCTGGCTGTGGTGCCTAGCATGCAAAGAGTGCTCACAAAGGTTTCCTAAAGAAATGACTGCTCTCCATGAGTCAAGCTTTATTACTGAGGACAAAAACCAACTTACGGAGAAGGCACTGCCTCTGGCTTAAACAATAACAACAAGGAGAAAACCCTGAGCGCCCCCCTCCCCCAATCTTTTTATTTGTTACTTTGGGTTTTCTATTATTTGGAGCTGAAAACATTTTTTTTCAAATCATAACAAATGGTAGTCACACACAGGATCCCTGACAGGTTTTTGTTCAAAAACATCCATTCCACATGTCTGGGCTAACTTACCTCCCTCCCTCCCTCCCTCCCTCGCTCCCGCCCGCCCAGCCGCGGGCCCCCCCCCCCTCTGTGTGTGTGTGTGTACTCAGACCCTCATGCTTATACCACAAACCCTTTTGACACCTAGCCCAGACTTCCCTACTCTTTAATCTTGAGGTCTTGTTTGGGGGAACGGGCCTTAGCTGGTGGGATGTTATTAGTGTGGACCAAGAGCAGGAGGAAGCTGCTTGCACAACCTTCAACATTGACAAGTCCTCCCGGAAGCCTCTGCTCTGGCAGCCAGAGCCCTAGCATTAATTCTGCTGGAGTGACCCAGAGTTCAGCCTGTGCACAAGAACCAGGCCCTGCTGGGTCTGAAGTTGAAGCAGAGCCATCCAGCCAGGGCTACCCTAGATCAGCCAATCCTAGCACAGACCTTATAAGACCTATGAAGAAAGATTGTCTCACAGTGAAGACATTTTATGGTTGTTTGTTAAGGAGCAATAGTTGACTGATCAGGGTTAGGTCAGGGGTTATTAACCTTGGCAGTGCATCTGAGTTATTTAGAGAACTTTAAAAGAAATAGATACTAAAACTTCCTCCAGACTGTCTGGTTTTTAGAAATCTACATTCCTTTTAAACTCTCCCTGAGGATTTTACATAGGAGTTCCACATCCTTTTGTTATCTGTTACTTGAGAATTACAATCATTAACAAGTATGATAGGGTTTCTATGTAACCTAAAATCTTTTTCCTTCTTTGGCCACACAATAAAAAGAAATCCTTTCTGACACCATATGATTAAAGTCAGAGAGATGCTTTCTTCCTGGAGTAGAGTTTCCTTCTTAGAATCTTTTCCAATGTGGAAATTTTGGCGAAATCCATGTTGACGTTTTTCTTACCTGGTCTGCAGAAAGATCCAGGTGACAGTTGTGATTCATGACCTAGGGTTATTTGGTTTCAATTTAAACTAAGGTTGTGTCCTCTTAGTATTTTTGCCTGGGCTATGATTAGCAGGCAAATGGAAACTTAAGGCAGAATACTGGGGCTGGGAGTGTGAAGACACTGTTCATGGAAGAAGCATTCATGACATCAAGCTTTAGCAGAGAGGTGGCTGGGAGCCTGGTCTCAGAAGGAGGCCTCTGCCGTGGCTGAGCAGGAAGGGGCTGGGATCACTTTTATAATATGTATAATATGTATAATATATATATATATATGTATATATATAATAGAAAAGCAAGATTTTCTTTTCTTTAAAGAGTATTTATTAATGTGTGCCTATATGAGTTTATGCGCTTCAGACCCCCCTGGAACTGGAGTCATAGGCAGTTAGGCGTCATCTGATGTGGTTGCTGAGAACCAAACCCAGGTCTTCTGCAAGAGTAGGAAGAACTCAACCACTGAACCATCCATCTCTCCAGTCTCCAGGATTTTCTTATGTACACTCACCAGTATACCTGTTTCTATACCATTAATCATTAACCTAGTTATTATCAAAAGCTGTACACAAAGATAATCATACTTCAGTACCCACTGATGACCACTGGGACCATATTTTGCTGTTGTACAAAAGCTGTAATGAACATCTTCCTTTATTCATTGTTAGGTATTGTTGGGAAAGTAAATTTAGTGTTTTTCTTCATATTTGGGTTGCCCCTCCCTCAGAAATGTAAAAATGAATAGTGATAAGTTGTCAATCTTTCTAACTTTTTAATAATCATCCAAAGGAATAACTTTTTGGTTTAAATATCTTTCCCTTTATTGCTAGTGGCTTTAAATATTTTTTTATAATATTTATTTATAATATTTATTAGAATTTAAATTTATTTGTAATGTATGTGGGTGTTTTGTTTGATGTATATGCCCACACTGCCCTCTGAGGCCAGAAGAGAGACTTGGATTCCTTGGAACTGTATTTACAGATGGTTGTGAGCTGCTGTGGAAATCCAATCTGGGGCCTCTGCAAAAGCAGCCTATGCTCTCAGCTGCGGGGCTATCTCTTGCTAGTCTTCAAACCTTTCTTGTGTATCCCTTGCTTGCACTTTTCCTGCTTGTCAGCTTCCTTGTCTTCTATGTTCAGTGTTTGCCTTGTATTTAGATTGTAGCTTTTTAGATAGCCACTTTTTAGATAGTGGCCTTTTTGCATATTTCTTAATTTTACAATGAAATTCTAAAATTCCTTCTGAAGTAGGCAATATAACAGACTGAAGAAAGCAGAAAATTTCCAAAAATTCAGCCTATGGTCTTACTCCTTGTGTAAAGTTATCATCTAGCAAGGTGAGGACTGTAGAGGACTGTCTGGGCTCCAGACAGCTGGAAGACTCTTGGTCCCAACTTCCTGATTTGGGGAAGGCAGAAGAACAGAATGCAAACTCCTTTGTAGGGCTGTGAAATAGAACTGGAGAGGATACAGGCTAAGAGCTTCCTCTAGGCCTTGGATATAGCAAATCCGCTCTAAATCTTTGCTATTATGCGCGGAAAGGGTAACGCACTTTAAAGATTCAGCCCAGAGATGTAGTTATCCAGGAACCCGGTGGGGTGAGTCTTGGGGATTAAGCCTTTTTCCCTGAGAAGTGCACAGCTGGAGTGAGAACTAGGTACCAATCCCAATCCTGCCCATTTCTTGGGATGTGACTGACCTTGGACAAGTCACCTTTTGCCTTTACCTCCACCTGGAAAACACAGGAAAGACCACCTGAACTCGTGCAGGGTTAGAAGGCGCCTGGGAAAGGCTCACAAAGGGCTTCTGAGGCACCGTCCCGGAGCGCTCTCCAGCATCCTCGGCGCCGTCCGGCCAGCCAGAGGGATCGGCGACCCCGGCCCGCGCCCCCGCCCGCCTCAGGAACAATGGCTCCCCGGGAGGGGCGGAGCTCGGCGCCGGGGGTGTGCGCGGGGCGGGGTCGCCGCTCCCTCCCCGCCCGCGGCTCCGTCACGCGCCCCTCACCGGGCGGGCCGGGGTCTTTGTGACGCGGCGGCGACGGCCGCGCGGACACAAAGGGAAGGCGAGCCTGCGAGCTAGAGGCTGCGTCCGTCCCCGCCCCGCGCCCCTCGCGCGCGCCCCAGCTCCGTGTTCCCCACGCGGCGCGCTCCCTGCCCTCGCGCGCCCGCGCCCCTCGCCCGCGCCGGGATCCCCCAACGAGGCTGTCCCGAGCGCGGAGGGCCCGGGCCTGGCGGGGATGCTGCGGGGCTGCCCCGGGCGGCGGCACGGCTGCTAGGAGGCGGCGCGGGGCCGGTGTGCCCGGCCTGCCGCTCCCTGAGCTCCCCGCCGTGCGGCCGCGACAGCATGGGCGCCCAGGCGCCGCTCCGGCTGCCGGCCGCGCCCCCGCTCGCCGTCTGCGGCTACACGTCGGTGCTTCTGCTCTTCGCCTTCTGCCTGCCCGGGAGCCGCGCGTCCAACCAGCCCGCAGGCGGCGGCGGGGACTGTCCCGGAGGCAGAGGCAAGAGCATCAACTGCTCAGGTAGGAGCCGCTGGCGCCCGCCTCTGGGGCTCCTCCCTTCCGCCGTTCTGGGCCGCGGGAGGACTCGGTGTGGACTAGGGTACTGAGGAGTCCCGGGGGCCGGGCGGAGGGCAGGACGCGAGTTCGCGGTGCGGGCTTGGGGACCTGGGTTTGGGGATGGGGAGTGGTCGTGTGTGAGTCCGTGGGTGTCGAGTGTCCGGGGTTAGGGCGGCCCTGCGGCGTGGTGAGCTGGTGAGGTTCCACGAGACGGAGCAGAGATCCTGGGTGTGCTCGTGGAAACGCGTGTAAAGTGTTGTGAAGCCTCAAGGGAAGGAGGACGGCTAGGCTTCAAGGGGAGAGAGTGTGTGTGTGAGTGTGTGTGAGAGTGTGTGAGTGTGTGTGTGTGTGTGATGGTGAGGAGCTGGGGGACTGAGGATAAGGGCCTGAGGACTGACCATGTGTTGGTAGGGAGGTTCTTCCTTAGAGTTCCTTGGTCTCAGAGAGGTTATGCCGGTAAAAGGAAGGAGTGGTTATGTTTGTCCTTTGGGTTCAGGGGTGCAGTGGGGGCCTATACTGTCCACAGATCTGTGAATCAGGGCAGCAGGGAGTCCCAGGAGAGCCCAGGAAGTGTTTTGTTGGTTGTGTCTGGACAAAGCCTGGGGCTCAGGTAACCACGCTGGAGTATGTCTATAGGGTGAAGAGATGAGAGTCCAGTAGTGAACCCAGTTTGACAGAGCGAGGGAGCTAGGGAGTCATCTTGTGTGGGATTTGGGTATGAAAGGTAATTAGGTCTCAGAGAGTGCCCCTGTGTAGCTAGTGTAACCCCGGGTTAATTAAAGTGGTGTAGAAAGAGAGGCACTAGTGGTGTGTGTGTTTTGCAGGAGGACTTGGAGATTGGCAGCCAGGGGAGCCAGGGAGTAAGTGACCTCTCCCCTCGCTCCAAGGCCGCCTGCCCTCCCACAGCTGTTGGAAACAAAGAGCTTGCTGGGGTTTTAATGGATGACACAGGGGAGGAGGGGGACCAGGCAGTAAAGTTCCCCCATCCTTTCGGAAAGAGTCCCAAAGGAGCTAGGGGATTCAGGCCCTGGGGCAAGGAGAGGCTTCCTGGTTCTCTTTGGGGGAGGGTAGGTCTGCTTGCAGCTGGCCCAGCAGACCTAGTGGTCATAAGCCAGCCCTTGCTTACTTGGGCTTTTATCACTTAGCCTAGCACTTGTCCTTTTAACTAGGGTTGAGCGAGGAGGAGGGGAGCACCTGAGAGTCAGCTAGTGGGGGCCTGCCAGACAACTTTGTACCTGTGAGTTCTTGAAGGGGCTGTGTTTATGGGACAGTGATTTAGGCACAAGAGGGTTTATGCTGGCCTTTTTTTTTTTTTTTAGTAATTTTCATATGGTATGTTTTATGAGAGGTTTTGAGAACTGATAAAAATGGCATGTCCATGAAAAGCCTTTCCACCCATAAACTCTCTTTTATTTTTTCTAATAGTAATTGGGATGGGATAATGCTTTAGTAAGCCTCACTGTTTATTTAAGAAGATAAGCTGTATGTCAGAGTGACTTTTTTGGGTAATGAATAATGGTTACCTTTTGTAGGTGATCACACTGTCAAAATATCTTACTGGGTGATGTATTACGGTTGTGTGTGTGTGTGTGTGTGTGTATGTGTGCATGTGTGTGTGTTGAGGGCGGAGTTAGCTAACTTCATTTGTCCTTAGCAAAGTATAGCATTTGTTGATGGGTGTTTTTGTATACTCTTTCTGATTCTGTCCTACTGCATAGGACAAGGTTCAGAAATGATTGGGCACTCACATGGTGTGGGAAGAATGGGGCTCATCTGGAGGCCATAGCTGTTGCTGCAGAGCTTAATTCTGGGTGCAAGTCAGTTGATTTTTCATAGTTTCTTCAATTAAAACAGATTTGGATTTAATATCTCAGCCTTCCTTTAGAAAAATTTGTCATTGATGATGAATGCAAATAAATTATAGGTGTACTTTAATTATATTTTATTTTGTATATTTTACCTGCATGTACATATATCACATGCATGCAGTGCCTACAGAGGCCAGAAGAGGGCAGGAGAAGAAAAGTCCTCAGGAACTTGGCTGTCCATCATGTGGGTACTGGGAACTGAACTCAGGTCCTCTGTGAGAGCAGCAAGTGCTCCTAATGGCTGAGCCATCTTTCCAGGACATAAGGACAGATTTTTGTTATAACTCTCTGAGACAAAGAAGGAAAATGCACATTTTTCGTTGATGAATTTGAGAACTGTAGTAATCCAGTATGGGCACATGATGCATTTGTGTTAAATACAGTTTGAGATTGTAAGTCCTAGGGTTTCCTTGTAAAGGTATCTCAAGGGTATATTGAGCTTTAAAATCTAAGTACCATCCTTGACTTCCTCTTGTTGGTTTGCTATTTTAGATGTCTGTGATCTTTAATGGTGTCTGATTCTGTCAGGCTGTGTGTGCTGAGTTACTCAGAGTTTTGTGGCCTTTGTAAATATGGGTTTTATCAGTAGAAATTATTTAGATTATAGAAAGGTTGGGGTTCTGCAGTGTTTTACTGGAAGTTTGTGGATGTGTTAATTAATTAGATGTTCAAGCACTGCATTCTCTTAGTTGAGTTTAGTAGATTTTCAAGCTTTTGGAGTTTGATTTTTTCCATCTTTTTCACTAGACTATCCTTAAAAGGTGTAGTCAGAGCACCTTGTTAGGCCATATCTCTCTCCCTTTCTCCATTCTAGTGGAAAAAATGCCTTTTAGAGCATGCCTTTTTAAAAGGAATCTAAGTGTGCACACACTCTCACTCACTCTCTCTTGTTCTCTTTCTCTGCACACACACACACACACACACACACACACACTAGCATGCACAGATTTATCTATTCTCAAAAACTTCAGCTGGGTTGCAAGTTAACCTATAGATGATTTTCTGGATCTGCATGTGTCCTCCTGTTTTTTCTTTCTTCTTTCTCTCTCTCTCTCTCTCTCTCTCTCTCCCTCTCTCCCTCTCTCCCTCTCTCCCTCTCTCCCTCTCTCCCTCTCTCTCTCTCTCTCTCTCTCTTTCTTAAACATGAGGGTGTGTTCTTTAATTTCTGGTCTTCTGGCTCCTTGTCAAGACACTGTAAATATTTAGTGGTTTTTAAGTATGATCTGAAAGTTTGTTCAGCATCATCGAGCACAATTTGCCCAGGAAATGTATGTTGGAGTCAGCTTTTGCAGCTGTTCAGTGTGCAAGCTGCTTACTGTAGGTATTCTTCTTTTTGTCAGAGTCCCAGATTCAGTTTGGAGAGCATGTGCCTTTAAGGCAGTGATGCTGAATGGGTCTGTGCTGTCCTTTCAGCTCTGGCCGAGACAGCATCTTCCCCAAGCAGTAAGCCCCTTTCTTCTCTAGTTTATGTAAGCTCTTTTTATTGGTCTCTTTCCACAGTACTCTACTCATTCTGGGCTTTAGGCTTCTGATGTTTTTTGTCTTTGTTTACATTTCTTTATAGTTACTCTTTAAGAATCTAATTTGTGTGGAAGCTTTCTGTTTTTCCAAAGAGAAAAAAAATTGTGGCAAATTTTTGTGACTTTTGTGAAGATGAAGTGAAGCTCAAGAGACTAGATAAACTGAGATAACATTTTTCCCCACTCCTGACAGGAGCCATGGCCCCTTTTGGCTTTGGGAGCTTTCAGGTGTTTGAGAAGAACACATGAAGCTAAATATAGGAAACATTTCTGCCTCAGGGACTGTGGTGAAAGAGGTAGGAAAACATTTCTGCCTCAGGGACTGTGGTAAAAGAGGTAGGAAAACATTTCTGCCTCAGGGACTGTGGTGAAAGAGGTAGGAAAGCTGAGCAGCAAGTGGCATTCAGTGGCAGACGTCAGATGGAGAATTTGAACTAGGTTCCAACATGTCAGAGAAGTGAGAAGTGGGCCTCTAGATGCTATGTGGTGGTAAGAATCTTACAAATGCCAGGCTGACAAGAGAGCCTTGCAAGTGGCACTTCAGAATAGTGCCACTATTACTAGGGAATAAATGAGTTGTCTAGTTAGAGTGGAAAACAGTGGTCGGAATGGTGGTGGTTATGGTCCCCGACGTGTAAAATATGGTTATTAATTTACTTAGTGAGCCTGTGTAGTGTAACCTAACATATCAAATATTTAGGGAAATATATGAGAGGCCCTCCCTGCCTTCAGAGACCTTACAGTTGGAGGAGGGGTGATTATTCTGTTACAAAACATGTAATGGAAATTCCTGCCTAGTACATCTGGATCTACCTCTCCCCCTGTGACTAAGCACTTACTGACCACTAACACTAATTATATTAACAAACAGACACACAAACAGTACAGTAAGAACAGTCTAGTAACACAATTGAGTATCACCACTAATTCTATAACAATTCTTCACCCTGAAAAGAAACCTCCTTCTGTTGACAGTCATCTATCCATCTCCTGAGCCATTGGCTGCTGCTACTCTGCACTGTGTGACTGTGGATTTGCATTCTGCACATACAAGCAAGTGGAATCACACCTTACCAGGTCCACTGTTTCCCATTTCTTTTACCTAATATGGTATTTTCAACATTCACCCATGTATTAGAACTACATTCCCTTTTAAGGTTGAATAATATTTTACAGTATGGATGTGGTGATGTCTTGTGCATCCCGTTGTTTTCGTCTCTTGGGTATACACTGAAAGAGTTAGTGGATCACACACTAACGCATATCTTTTACATTTTTATGAACTGCCAAACTGTGTTCCAAAGCTTCTGTAATCTTTTACATTCTCACTGGCAATGTGTGAGGGTCTGTTTCTCTATGTGCTTCCCAGAATTTGTGTCTGTCTTTCTGATTACAACCATCTTAGTGGGTGTGAAATTGTATCAGCGTGGTCTTGATTTGCCTTTTCCCAAAGATTATAGTGAGATTAAACATCTTTTTCATGTAGTTGTTGTCATTTGTAAATCTTATTGGTGAATGGAAATATTCTCCTGGCCTTGATTTTTGACATCTATGTTAGCCAGTCTCCGTCTATACT